AATTTTCCAGAGTGGTTGATGGCCTTCAGCCTTTAATATGAACCCACAGACATTTCGTCGAAAATCAAAAGCTCCGTATCGTGACGTTTCTGCCTTAACGTCGTAGGTGCAATTGAGTGAGTCTAGAAAAAAAAATCTTATTTTCTTCCACCAGAATATAATAACGCATTTTTTTACTTCATATTTCCGGTTCTACTACTACTAATTACCACCCACATTAAGTTTTTGTTTTATTTTCAAATAGTCTGACGCTTAAACTGTGGTTATAAGCAGAAATCGTTTCTCTTCTGTGCCAACTGACCCCAATTGGAATGCTAAGTCCTTCTCTATCTGGTCTTACCAGCATTGCGACCCGCATTGGATACATTCCCAACTGGAGCGACTCTGTCCGTTCGAACGACATAATCTAGCAAGCGTAGCCGATGGATTTTAATTCGCTGGCCTATATCTATATCCATTTTATTATGTTTTTAATTTTAATTTTTAGATTTTATTGTTTTAAAAAGGAAAATATATATTTGTTTAAATTAATTTTCTTCAAATTTTTACATTTTATTTTTTAACTTAATTTAATTTTTTGAGAATTCAATATTTTTTCTTTTTATTTTTAGACTTTCTTGTTAAAAAAAGAAATAAAATAAAATTCAATTAAATTTAGTTTTTAGAAATTTATTAAAATGTTTCCCTTTTTAACTTAATGTTCTTTTAATTTTTAGATTTTATCGTTTTAAAAAGAAAAATACCTTTTTTAATTTAATTTAATTTTTATATACTTATTTACTTTTTATTTTTCATTTTATTTTTCCCTTATTTAATTTCTCTCGGCCGCTGTGGTTTAGTGGTAAGCAGTGCGCGCTTCCACTCCGCTGCGCCTGGGTTCAAGCCCTGGTCAAAGCAACATCGAAAAAAATATATAGAAAAAAGGTTTTTTCTTAACAGCGGTCGTCCCTCGGCAGGCAATGGCAAACCTCCGAGTGTATTTCTGCCATGAAAAACAGCTTCTCATAAAAATACAATCGCCATTAGGAGTCGGCGTAAAACTGTAGGTCCCGTAGGCGCACGCCACAAATCGGAGGAGAAGCTCGGCTAAAACTAACATATGTGTAAGCGCCAATCTATTATTTTTATTATTATTTAATTTCTCTTTAAATTTTAGATTTTATTGTTTCATGAGGAAATTTTTTTTTTTAATTTCATTTAATTTTTTAATTTTAGATTTAGTTAAATTTTTTTATTTTCTATTTTTTAGATTTTATTGTTTTAGAAAGAGAAATAATTTGTTTACTTTGATTTTATTGCTTTATAAAGAAAAATATATTTTTGTAATTTTAAAAATCTTATTTTATTTATTGTTTTAAAATGTAAAAAGATTTTTTAAATAAATTTAGTTTTTACTTAATAAACTTTACATTTTTAATTTAATTTTCTTTTGATTTTCAGATTTTATTGTTTAAAAAAAAAATTATTTTTTAATTAAATTTACTTTTTAGAAATTCATTTAACTTTTTACTGTCTTTCTTAGTTAAATTTTCTTCAATTTTTTAGATTTTATTGTTTTAAAGAGAAAAATATTTTTTTATTTAATTTAATTTTTAGTCATTTTTTACATTTTAATTTTATTTTCCTCTTTTTAAATTTCTTTTTAAATTTAAGATTTTATTATTTTTAACCAATATTTTTATTCTTTAGAAAAATTTGCGTTAGTTTAATTTAATTTTGAACATATTTTTTCATTTTCTCCTTTTTAATTTTTTTTTTTTAATTTGTAAATTTTATTGTTATAAAGGAAGTATATATAATATCATTTCTTTTTTAGAAGCTAACATAATTTTTTTTCTTTTTAATTTTTTTAGATATTATTTTATTGACGCACATATGTAAAGATAATTAAAAATCGATTTAGGATTAGCAAATTTTTCTATTCATTTTATTTTTGTACTTTATAATTACTATTTTACTACTAAATAACTTTTACAGCCAATTTCACGAAAGCAATTTTTTGTGAAAAATTATTTTAATTTTGTGAATTTCATATGGAAATTGACAGAAAATAAAAAATCATTTTCCATTTAAGTTGCTGATGAAACCGGCAGTTGGATCTTATTTCCCTATAAATTTGTTTGTTAAATGAAGGGACAACAAAGAAATTAAATTGGTCACCGGGTTTGATATTCGCAAACAACATACAGAAAATCTTCGGTAATCCTAAGGTTAAGCTGTGAAGATCTTGGTGCCATCTGTGTATGCCCCTTATGGAAAAATAGCGCAAATGATAATTCCCTATATAAAAACACAAAAGCATTACTTGCTAAAGCCTCTACGCTTTATCGAGCACGCTTAGCATACAGAGGTAAATATTTTATTTACTCGTCTATATGTACATATGTATATATACAATATAGTTGCAGCTTACATTCTCGCTCTCTAATTTCGCTCGCAAATCATTAAATAATTTATTCAATATTCTTTGTCGCTTTCCTCTCCAATGATTTTTACACAGTAGTTATTAGCATGGGCTTCCATTTACGCTCGCAGTATGTATGTACTAGCATTTTTAGTATCTACCTAATAAACATACCTCTCATTTTTGTGTAGTGGATTTTTGAGTGCTAAGAGTATAATCTCGTCAAAAACCCGTTAAGTATTTATTTATGTATACAAAGTGGAGCGCATCTGCTTTGTCTGTATGTCCAACTAAATATGAATGTATGTATGGAGGCACATTAGACCATACCAGAAAAATAAGTTCGCCATACATCTTCGAATCCAAAGTAATTTTGCAAGAAAATTTACATTTTTCGACGAATCTTCGGCATTTACAGTCGCGATATTAAAGTATGATAAATCGATGTTTTCGACTCGAGCAGAACCTTTTTTTTTTTTGTTCAAAAGTTTATTGACCTCAAGTAACCCGTACTAGTACAGATCTCACTTCTTATCATCCGAACGTACCAGCCTAATATCAGGAAAATGAAGCTTGGCAAAAATCATTAAACTTTTGCTAAGGTATTTCGTTTATTCCAGTAAAACTATTTCAAACGAATTGTTTTATTATCGAATGTAGGTGTCACAGAAAAATATAAAAATACTACCCCCAGGTTCGACTAAAACATAGATACATTTTTTTTCGAAATCTATTTATGTACTTGCAAAAATACTTTAGTGTGGAAGGTGTACGGTGATCTCTTTTTTGCCTTTAAGGTGGTACGGACTAATATTTGTACATACGTATGTACATACTCGTAGCTACAACTTTGTGCATAAGCTCAATTAATAAAATTCCTGTTTGAGGTGAATATGTTCACTGAATCTCTTGCGCTTCTTGCATTAAGATTTTTATTAATTATGTACATACATATAACAAGCTGACCGCACGAGCTATTTTTTATGGCTTAATATAAGGTCAGTCATATTTTTTCTGAACAAGCCTACCACGGCGAGACTGATTTTAGAAAAAAAAAAACAAGTAAGAGCAGCGCTGTGCCGAAGACTTCATACCTTTCATGAGCATCTGAAAACTTTACTTTAACAGATTACTGCATTTGAATAAATTTATATATTCACAGCAGGCATAGATAGAGGAGATACATATATAAAAAATCATATCTAAACAATCAGAGGAAGATATACCTTATATAGCACCAATCTAAGTGATTTTCACTACTGTGTGATCGGTACGTAAACCGGTAACACAATTTAATGAGTTTAGCTTCCTACCTAAAGGAGATGCATATATCGCAAAAACTGGTATCTGAACAATCAGTGGTACAAGAGATTATGATTATACAGCATAGATTTTGACGATTTTCTCAGTAGACTTTGTATTATTATTTAAAAAATAGCTTACGAAATTTATCGGTTTTAGCTGTTCAAATAAAGGAGTTTTACAGTAAAACCCCATATCTGAACAATCAGTTGTATGGGGGCAATAAACAGGTTATAGTGACCCGATCTTTGTTAATTTTATTGTAAACTTTCTGTTGATAATGAGTGAAAATAGGGCGAAATTTCATGTTTCGAGCTACATAGATGGAGTAGTTATAACAAAAAATCGCATATCTGAACAATCAGTTGTATGGGAGCTATATGTAAAAGTGACCCGATCTCTGTTATTTTCACTGTATATTCTGTTGTTAATGGGTGGAAGTATTGCAAAATTTCATGTTCATAGGTGCATAAATGGAGGAGTTATAACGAAAATTCTCATAACTGAATAATCGGTTGTATCGGTATAGCGACCCGATCTTCGCCATTTTCACTGTAAGCATGTTTTGGATATTGAATATTGCGGAATGCCATGTTCCCAGCTGCATAAATGGAGAAGTTATAACGAAAAATCTCATATCTGAACAATCAGTTGTATGGGAGCTATATGTTATAGTGGTCCGATTCTTCCGGTTCCGACAAATGATTAATGCATTATAAAAATACACCCACCTATCAAATTTGATCCGGATATCTCGAAAACTGAGAGACTAGATTGCATACAAACAGACGGACAGACAGACAGACAGACGGACAGACGGACATGGCTAAATCGACTCAGCTCGCCGTTCTGATCATTTAAGTATACATTTTAATGGGTCTATCTCTTCTTATTCTGGTACTTACAAACATCGGACCAAAGTTAATAATACCATTTCATGCTCATGAAAGGTATAAAAATTGGATATTGGGCGTATCGGAAATCGAACCTGGATCTTACTGATGTGTGAACTGGGGTAAAGCGTTCAGAGTTTTTCAAACTTATATGACATCTCTTCGAATGACTTTGATAAAGGTAGGCGTATAATCGAAAAATCACGAATGGTTGCGAATGATCTTTCTATTAAATAAATTAAGACGGGAAGGCCAATAAAACTGTTTGCTGTTTTGGATAAAATTCACTTCACTTTAGCATATCAATTCTAATAGGAAATATGTTCAGTGGAGATCGCATGTGAAATAAACCTGCATTTTTCTCGCCACTAACATCGTCTTATAAAGCGAATGTAACTTAACAGTGGTCTTCAGTTGTAAGCCGCGCTCTGAGCTGGACAGTCACTCGCATATTTCACAGTCTTATCAATCGTTTTTCGCACAAACAACCGCAGAGATTATTTCATTTCAACAAAATGTCTATTGATATCAAAAATGTTTTGATTTGTGATGCGGTTGATAAAGCCTGCGTCGAATTGCTACAGAGTAATGGCATCAGTGTGGACACTAAACTTAAGCTACCCGTTAACGAACTGGTTCGCGTGGTGAAAGCTTACGATGCTGTTATTGTACGTTCCGACACTAAAATAACTGCTGAGGTTATCAAGGCGGGTGCAGAGGGCGGCAAACTAAAAGTGGTGGGTCGCGCTGGCGCTGGCGTTGACAACATTGATGTGACTGCAGCTACACAACATGGTGTTGTTGTACTCAATACACCCGGAGGAAATTCCATTTCAGCATGCGAATTGACTTGCCTATTAATTGGTGCACTGGCGCGTCCAATTGTGCCGGCAGCGCAAAGTTTGAAGGAGGGACGTTGGGATCGCAAGCTGTACAGTGGTTTTGAATTGTATGGCAAGACGCTCGCTATAATCGGTTTGGGACGCATCGGCCGCGAAGTGGCTATACGTATGAAGGCATGGGGTATGCGTACAATTGGCTATGATCCCATAACGACCGAGGAGGAGGCACGTGCCGCCGGCATTGAAAAACTGGAATTGGACAGTATTTGGCCATTGGCCGACTATATTACCGTTCATACGCCACTTATACCGCAAACTAGGAATTTGATTTCTGCACAGACACTGGCAAAGTGTAAGCGTGGCGTGAAAGTGGTGAATGTGGCTCGTGGCGGTATTGTGGACGAGCAAGCTGTTATCGATGCGTTGGAGAGTGGTATTTGTGCTGGCGCTGCTTTTGATGTTTACCCCGAAGAGCCACCAAAGTCGACAGTTACTAAGGCGTTGATAGCACATCCCAAAGTTGTGGCTACTCCACACTTGGGTGCGAGCACCGCTGAGGCACAGGTGCGTGTAGCTGTTGAAGTTGCTGAGCAATTCATCGCATTGACCGGAAAGTCACAAAAATATACAACCTATGCTGGAGTTATTAATAAGGATGTACTAAAAGCTTAATAATAAAATATTTGTATGACAAAAATTTGTTTATTAATCTATGGGCAAAAGCTTGGCAGGAAAATTTAGGAAATAAATTCGTATCTGTTTCATGTGGAAATCTAACAACCCAAATATAACAAGTAACTTTTAAGCAAAAAACAAAGCCGACTTCAATTCTCATATACAAATTTAAGATTATTGTTAATTTCTTCATGATCCAATGATCGGATTTAGATTAAGTATGGGACCACCTGTGACCACCTTTCCTTTAAAAAAGAATTATAGAAATCGGTTAACGTGATCCAAAGTTATGCGGCAACAACATACATAAAAAAAAAATAAAATAAAAAACATTTCGGTTTGAAGTCGGTTAAAAAATTTACTACCTGGTTTCGATTTACTAATGAAAGAAGTATGTAAATATTTGTTAATTTCAATTAATTCCTATCATTTGAAAAGTACACGGCTGAAAAAGCTGTGTTCGTAATCGGAACGGAGTTGACACTACCGTCGATATAGGAAATCCGCCAGTGACTCCCACAAAGAAATTGAAGCGTATGTTGAAGAAAGTCAGAATAAGCATAAATATGCGTGTACGCCCTATTTTGTATGCCACCTAAAATAATTTAAAAAATTTATTATAGTCGAAATGCAACCGTGGATGCCAGCTGGCACTGAAGCTTGCAAATTCCTTTTCGCGCTAAACTTTCTAAGTTTCTCTCTTTGGGAGAGTAAGATACCTTATTCTCATACTGGATTTTGCATAGCGAACAGAACTAATGAGTGGTGGGAATTTCCGTACAAACGAGTACAGTTTTAAATCTTCTTCAAACGTACACTGGGTTTTTATGAGAAGCATTTTGGGGCAAATATAGCGTTTTAAGGTTCCTTATTGCCTTCTGAGTGGTGACTGCTATTCGAAAAAAACGGGAGCATGTACATAAGGGTGGTCCAAAATATGTGCGGGGGAAAAATTTAAAAAATGTTAAGCTCACACCCCCTAGGATTTTTCTAAATGGAAAAAGGATTTTTTGTTAAAAAAAATGTATTTAGGACTGCCTCAAAGCCCATGAAGTTTTCCATGTTTTCTATGTGGGGAAAAAATATTTTTTTGTAGAAATGGTACAGAATTCTGGAAAACAAATATTTTTCGATCGGAAAACTCTGTTTCTCTTTAGGAGACTTCCAATAACAACACCAAATTTTTTATTTTACCATTTCTTAATACTACCGATTTTCATGGGTGTATTTTTCGGGCTTTTGTAGGTCCCCATAAAAAATATTTAATCAAACAAATAAAGAAGTCAAAATTCGTGCTCCGAACGACAGATGGAGGTGGAGGCCTTCTCCGGCTGCTGCCTACTATATTGGATGCAAACAGCCACTTCAAGCAAAACCTGAAAGGAAGATACTGCAAGCTCGGTTCTTGATGGAACACGTACCCTATTCAATGAATCGATGTGTTCATCAGAAGCACAAATTAGCAAAATATTCACAAAGATTGCTAAGAATATGTGAGAGAGGCAGATGGGAGTATATTTGTCGGACCAGAATTTAAAACTGGGTTCTTTTGGATGCATACAGTCACTTCCTCATGAGAATTGAAGTCGGTTTGATTTTTTGCTTAAACTTAACTTGTTATAGATCAGTCTACATTTTTCTTGAGCTGCTTAATCAGAATGTGAAGTAGCTCAGAAATTTGTTTACTCGAAAGCAAGTGAACTGTAAATACCCCGACCGTTATCACCACTCAGGCTCGTAAAATTAAAAATACAATAATTCATTACATTTTTCTTTTTACTACCGGGTCTAGCTTGCCTGTATTGCCCGGCAACAGACTGGCATTCCAACTGCAAAAAAAGACAAATGTAAATATTACTTAGAGGCGCGACAAAACAAATTTGTTGACGTTTATACATACATACATACATATATCGCATACATCCTTCAAAAGCGCTTAACTCAAAATTTGTTACTTTTGATATTATGTTATAAGAGTGTTCCGAGTTAATAAGTATTTATATTGTGTACACCATCCGGTTAAAGTTGAAGCAATAATCTGTTGTAATTTGATGCGAAAAACAGCAAGCAATCTGGTTATACATATGATAAGCGCTCACTTAGAGACAGTTCTTCACGTTTTCTGATAAGTGAAAAATTTTGAGTTAATAAATTTGTTAAGAATATGTCCGATATATTCATAGCTCATGTTAATCAGTACAGTCTTGCATGTCAGCTATTGCGAGCACAGCGAGATCAATGCATGGTGTCTACTACATATTTATGCACATACATATATATCGGGATAGGCTCTTTTCCTTTTAAAGCAACATTTTATTGGGTTCCGAAACAATGTTTTAACGATTAACTAGCTATATTTGTAGTTCAAAATGTTTTTTTTTAAGCTTAGTAAAAATATAAAAGTTTTCAAGTAAAACTAATTTTTTTTTTCAAAGTCAAACCATCTAAAGTCATTTAAGCTATTTTAATTGAACGGCACAGATGCATTTCTGTTACCCAGCAAAACGCATTCTTCACTTCACTTACAAAATTGTCAATAAAAATAAAATGCATTACCATATTAGCGATATTCATATGGTATTCTTTGGGTAACATATGTATCTTCGCCCATATGCCAGAAACATGAATGTGTAAAAATTTAAATTTTTGGGAAATCAAGTTTGAAATTGTGGTTTCGTACACAGATCCCCAGAATATCGGACTTTTACCACTTTGTGGTAGATCTACAACTTTTTTGAGCATCTACCACACAAGGTCTGAGCTTCATGTTCTTGAAACGAAAAAGGTTTTGGTTTCTGAAACAAATCAGCGTATTGAAGGTCAAAGAGGACGCAACTCGACAGGCTGCAGACGCAATTCGAAGAAACGCAGTTACAACTTAAAGGGCAGACGCAACGTGAACCAGATACTCTAAGCGAAAGCATTCTATGATAGACGAACTAGGTACGCACACGTCATCCTGTCCAGTTAAATCGCGCTTGCCGCCATGCCTTGCTTTGGGCCATGTTTTATGACAGCGTCGCTCAAGAGCGGGTACTGACGAACGTCGAGAAGTTCGAACACTTGATGTCATGCCTAACTGGTATCGCATTGGATGTTATCCGCTCGTTGTAAATTAATGCGGAAAACTACGAAAAGGCGATAAAATTATTAAAGGTACTACATGGCTTTAAGGGAGGCTCACATCAAAGATATTTTCGAGTTGAAGAAGGCGCCGGTCGGCTCTGCCGTTTACTTGCGGAAGCTCAAAGACAAGACCAGCTGCGTGCTTCACAAACTATTACCACAAATAAGCTCTTCGAACTCACGATATTCGGGCTCTCCCTTTTTTTCTTGGTATGTATCACAGACCTTTTGAGCTCCCTATATTAAAACTACCGAACGCGCGCCACGCTCGATCGCAGTTTGGCTCTGTGGCCGGCATCTCATTTTTGCAGCTTCGTGACATTATTCAACGTAACAGTTTTTCTTTCGGGCTTGCTAAAATGCGACTATTTTTTCGACGGTGAGGAATTTTCATATGATGGCCACAGAGATTGCGTCCTGTCCACTCTTGCCTGATGGTCAAGCACGACTTTTATTTATACCGTGACTGGGTCAGTTCTCATAGGTGTGCTCGATGCGCTCATTGAATAGGTATTTAGACTGCTCGACCTTCCGTCGAGGCGTGGACCCAAACGAACGATGCGCATTGTAGCGAGACTCTCGTCCACCGTGGTGAACGACAGTACTTGGCGACGAATTCTATTCCTCGGCACAAATCCTACACTGAATTTGGGCTCCTTTACATGGCAGCTGTAGTAAACTTCGCATATGTTGGATGGCGGGGATGTTAGCCTTAATCTTCGTAAGCACTGTCGGAGACGAAATAGAATAATTAGTAAAAAAAAAAGAAATTACAAATAATATGGCCAAGGAAACTCTGAAGTCAAACCGTCAAACATAAGTCAAGGAGCGTTGGACAAAAATTATTTATTTTTTTACATACATACATATTTCTCAACAGAAAAAGAAAAATAATTTAAATGGTATACTCTGCGAAAGTGAAACTTTACTTCATTAGACTTCGAAAGCGATTTCCAGAAATCGATGAGGAGATTAGAGAAGTCCTGACTGAGCACACATCGCCCGAAACAAGTATAAGCCTGCGACAGTTTGTGGGTAAGTACTGTTTTGAGGAAATTTTAATTCTTTTAATAAATTTGTTGCATTCCTTCCTATTTAGAAAAGTATACAATACGCACTGGAAAGATTTTTCCATTGCATGTGTGCGCCATAAGATCAACAGAATTCCTCTTGAGCGTACCATTTGTTGTGGGATATCGTAGCAAATCTGGAACATTGTACTTCTTTTACTTGACAAGCGGTGTACATTGAATGATATTTTGATTGATTGTGCCTTTTTATGGATACATGTGTATAAGTAGTTGCTTACATTTATGTTATTCGCCCTGTTTATATATTATTTATTATGTACTTTATGTATATACTACTATTTATCGAATAATAACCGGTGAAACATCCCCAGGATGCACAATACGATTAAAAAGCCATTTGATGAAAGCATCAAAATTAATGGAAGTATCAGCCTCGGAAAGACCTGGTGCTCAGTAGCTTATACATATGTACTTTTGTTCAAAGTAACTTTAACTCAAAAGCAAAGACAAAGCCACTCAGAAGTTTCTTAACCAACTAGCATACAAAAAAACTATTTTCCTGTTAGGGCGAAACCCTGTTCCAAAGATGTTGCAGCTTTTTCTCGGAACTCCCAAAAGTATGCCATAGTCTTCAAATTAAGCCGAAAATCTTTTCCTAACTAGTCATTCCTTCATGTTTGGTCTTCGGTCCAAAATAAAAAAAAAAAAACAAAAAAACCTCCCGAGTGTATTTCTGCCATGAAAAATTGCTTCTCATAAAAATACTACAATCGCCGTTCGGAGTCGGCGTAAAACTGTAGGTTCCTTCCCCTTGTGTGACATCAAGGCGCACGCAACACACTAAATATGTGTAAGCGCCTATCTACTATTATTATTAACTAATCGTGGGACAGTTCTATATTTATCAGTTACCCATGGTATCATTAATGAAGCTATTGATTGCCCCTATTTGCTAGATAGGATTAGCTTAAATATCCCTTCTATGGGGAGTGCTATACGGGATTTTAATCTATTTGCTAACTCGGTGGCTCTTGACTTCCCATTCATTGGTTTCACCCATGATTCAATAATTATGAATCATGGGTTTAACCTGCGCTTTAAATGAAAAATTATTTTTTATTTTCTGTGAATTTCCATATAAAATTTGAAAAATTTAATCATTTTTCAATTAAATGGCTTTCATGAAATTGCTCTTTGGGGTGAGGGTGCCATTTTCTAGTAAATTTTTGTCATCTTTTATTTATAATTTTATTTTATACTTACGTTATTTGCTAGTCTGTAAAAACTATGTCCACAGACATTAAATAAAAAAAAATAAAATAATATCTGCAAGAATTTTAAAAGGGTTTTAATTACATTTTATTACATTAATATTTTGCTTATAAATTATCTTATTTCTCAACAACACTATTTCATTTGCCTTTATTGTAACGAATATACATACATACTTATAGTAGTATGTTTTAAATATAAAATTCGAGTTACGAATTATGCATATTTTACAATTGGTTTCATATAAATAGACACTCAGTTTATGAATTTGATGTAATTTATTAATTTCATTTTGGTTTTTTTTTTGTACTAAATATTGTAAGCCCAGCCGTTTCAGTCCAAATATGTTAATAAATTTGTCACATAACTATTTACTTTTTTTTTTTAATTTTTCAAATTAAGATTTATTTTTCGGCTCGTTAGGCGTAATGTAGCCAAATTCAGTTTAAATAAAGTACATACATATTTTTGAAATGCTTATTACAGTTAGATAAAAACTTTGGGTAAATATCATTTATTAGAGCGTTTAGAGCCAGTTTATTTTATTTCCTTAATAATTTAAGTACATGCGCAATATGTATTGTTTACGAAATATGTAAATATGTATGTATGTACATATTAACAAAATTTTGCAATATTGACTTACAGATACCGCAAAATTTTCCACAATTTTTTTTATAAAAACCGGGGTATATTTGATATTTTTGATCATACAGTGTACCTTCATCTTATCAAGCAATCGACTTACATACATAAATGTACGACTATTTATTAATACAATAAACTTGTGCTCACATAATTACCTCATCAATAACATGTTTTATATTAACACCCCCTTATCTTAACAGCAGTTATTTTTAAACTATTCAAGTTTAACTTGAGTATGAGTAACTTGTTAATAAAGGATCGGTCATATTAAGAGGTTTTGTTGTATTAAAATAAATATTTAAAAAACTACTCACAAAATATAATTGTCAAGCATACTTTATATGGAAGAAAATCATCATCAACATCGTCAGCTAAAAAAATTATTAAAAATCAACACGATTTCCTACCAAAAATTTTTCTAAAAGAAAAGTTAAAAAATTGTGGGCTGCAACTGTAAAATTTTTTTTAATTTTTATAATTTTTTCACGAAGTTTGAAATGTGGAGTAATGTAGTGAGAGTTATGTAATGTGCTAGACTTTTATAAAAAAAAAAAACTGCAAACATTAAATAGACATAAGAAAAATAGCCAAAACCGGTCAAAATAAAAAATAAAAATAATAAAATGATAAAAATTCAACAAATTTTCACCAAAATTTCAAATTTCTTATTCAAAATTGGGGTATGCAGTTTTATACCCATTCATGAAGTCATAAATATTAAAACCTTGGAAATTATGAATTACTAAAAATACCTTTAGCTTTTATAAAATGTATGACATTGTGAAAATATGTCTAGTTATGACACCTTGTAGATTTCCCAATAGTTATCTGAAAGTACAATGCTCTAAAGTTGTTTTAAAAAAATTACATTACTTAATTATGTATTTATACGAGCACAAGTGTATGTATGTACATAAACAAAAAAGTTACCGGCAACGCAATAACTTATCGACAAATTTTCAACTGTAATAATAAAAACTAAACTAAACTCAAATACAATTGTTCCGATGGTTTCACTACTAAAGCATATAATAAATCTCAGTAACTCGATACGTATTGCTAAAATATTTATCATGCATGTAGGATTATTTATTAAATCAAATTCAAATGATTCAGTTAAAGCGTGGCGAGTGGGAAGTTAGTACTCGATAAATAAATCGAGCAAGGAACCTAACGTTTTTCCCAACATACATATGTATGTATATCCCAACTCCATCAGTTTTATTTACTTTACTGAACTGAATATAACGGTTGTAAGACGTAGCAAATAGTTTATGTAGTGAAGATATTTTTACCAATCGTGTACTAAAAACATAAGATAATTTAAGAGAAAACGATTTAGCTCTGTTCAAAAGCAGCTAAATCATTCACCGCTTCAATAAAAAAAACAACAACGATTACGATTACAAGTTTATGTTTTCAGTACAGTATTCATTAGAAGTACTGTATGCGTATAACATGAACCACCTGATATGACAGTCGGTTTAATTTCATAGAACCTAAGTCAAGGGCACTTTCCAGTATCCAACTCTTTTTGGGATGCACTAACCGTTATTTACATCAAAATAACGACTCAGGAGGGAGCGACATGTACATTTTTTTTAAAACTTATCATGTTTTCTCTTTTCTTAAAATGTTAGTTCCACCCCCTCGAGCAAATGTAATCAAAGTTTAAGAACATAACTGGCAACATTTCGTATGTCAAGGGGAATAATCGTGACATTCCAATGCTTTTGGCTCACGCGCTTTCAGAGACAAATGGATATTCACTGCTGATATGGTATACGAGTATATCGGTATAAAGGTCGGTCTCCTCAAGCGCACACAATAATAATTAATGGGGGGAACTGCCAAATGTAAGACATAAAAGGCGAAGTAAACGTAGAGATTTTCAGTGGTTACCTGATATGTCAAATCTATAAGAAACATCTTCATATATGTTAAGTAAGAATTTGCAATCAAAAGTGTTTATAGATTAAGAATAGTACCAAGTGAAAAAATAGACTGAATCTTAAGAGAGAGAGAGAGAGGGAGCGTGGCACATACTATATTTTAGCCTGTAAGAGGGAAGATTACTCAAAATACCTCTTTTGTGATTAGAAAACAAGTTTTAAGCATCCTGGAGCAAAAGATCTTAATTCTTTTGATAACTCTTGTCAGAGTGTAAATGCTAAGATAATAATATTTTAGGATGCTGATTACATATTCTAGTAGTAAATACGTTCCATCAAAATGTTAAGTAAAATAGTAAAATATGCCGAACCCCAATAATCCTAGACAAATGGCAACTATCCAATACAAATACTCTTAAGTAGTAATATATTGTTTTCTTGAAAGAATGCCTCAAGCTGCATACTTTTTATAGCGAGTAATAAAAGTACTTTGAAAGTCTCAGTTGTTGCATACTTTCAGATGCACAATATCGAACTTACAATCGCGAAACCCACTGTCCTTTATAAATCAGAAATGCGCGAAACTTAAAAATACCAACGGATTTGCTTTCTAGTAGCTTCAACCTGCCCCCAAACATAAAAAATTATTAGGACAATATTAAACTTAAATACTTATCAAATATAAATATATGTATGTATAGGACGAAAATTAGCAATGTATGTCATTTACCGGCGAGTCCAGTCGACGCCGCAGCGGCAGCGGCAGCAGCAGCATCGCTGGATCTAAACGCTGTCTCCTCCCCAATTTGAGTGCGCGCGCGAGCGACAGCGCTTACTTGATGATAATCAACCGCCACTGTCGGCTGTTCTGGCGCTTGCGGTTGATAGTGTGATTGTTGTTGGTGGAAATGCTGTTGCTGCTGCTGCTGCTGCTGTAGCTGGCGATGATGATTTGCGGGGGTGTATTGCCGTGATTGCATTGCTTGCATACCTTCCGTTTTTTGTTGTGAGTAGTAATTTGCATTCGATTGCATAGCGTTAGCAGCAGTTTGTTGGAAACCAATTGGTGGCGATGACGATGTGCCATAATAATGTAACGGAGACGAGCGCATAGTAGAGGCCGAATTGTTAAGCTGATTTTGCGCTGGTGGCTGTTGTAAGGTTTCATTGACATGGTTATTACCCTTTGTACTGATTGTGTTACTAACACCACCCCTACTGTCAGCTAAGCCGGCAGTAGCGCTTAACGTTGGCGACAGCACAGTGGGTGTTGTGGGTGCCGATTGTGTGCCGTTTGCGGCTGTGTTTGTGTTTGTGCCGCGTTGCGAAAGTTTAGGTATTTGAAATTTGCTGTTAAGTCCCTTCATGAAGCCCTCCATATTGGCTGCCATTGCAGGTGAGGCAAACTGTAATATTTTCAACATATCCGCCTGATGATCCATGCGCGTCACTTGCTGTGTGACGGTTGGTGTTGTGCTACTATAAGCGCCGCTGGCAGACTTTTTCATCGATTTTCGTGAAGACCCACTGGTGCTGCCAACCAAATCCCCAAATGAATTTGTGCTAAAGCTCTTTGTCAAACCGCTACCACCAACCACTGAGGTGCTGGACGATTTTGTTGATAAGCTGCCTGAAGAATTGGACTTCTGGAATGGATGTTTAGTGGTGGTGGCACTTTTCTTGAAAGGCGACTTTGCTGCCAACAACTTTTTTGAGGCCGGGCCGCTATTGACGCCTGGTTTGAGGCCAGTGTGTTGTTTCTTGCCAGTTGCATTTGTAGCGCTAGTGACGCTGCTTGATTTGGCACCCTTCGTTGTGGTTGTTTCAGAAGAAAACGTACTAGTGCTGCTGCCTGCTGAAATGCCACCACCCAGACTGCTATTGCAACCGCTGTTAGCGTTGCTACTACTGCCACCTATGCTAGATTTGCCACCACCGCTGC